GCGGCCCCGGGCCAGGGCGCCGCGAGGGAGGGGTGCGCTGCAGGGGGAATCATTTAAGGCTTTTTGGCCCCTCTGCTGGCAAGGCAGCTCCGCGTCCCGGGGTCGGGTGAGAGGAGGCGGCAGGAATTGTTGTGAGGGTGCGCCGGGTACCAGAGGACCGGGAGCAGACCCCGGGGTCGGGGAGAGCTCTGGCCAAAGCGCGCGGGCCAGATGGGGCTCTTGAGGGGCGAGCGAGGGCCCGTCGGGGACCCCGAGGTGCGGGGGTGAAGGTTCGGGAGTGCGACCAAGTCCCGTCGGCGCCCAGAGACGTCTTTCTCCATTGCTGGGGACCGTGGAGGGATAAAGGCGGACATGGGCAGGGCGCGGCCTCGCCAAAGCTGAGGAGTCGTCCCTGAGGAGGGGCACCTCGGACAGGGACCCCCGAATCTCAGCCTCCTCGGCCAAGGGACCCCGGGTCCGCTCCCAGCTCGGCCCAGGCCGAGCAGCGTGCGGAGGTCGGGGATTCGCAGCAGCTGGCTCCCGGCGCCCAGCGGTCTCCAACTTGGAGAGCCTGGCCGGGACCCCTAGCGCGCGTGCCTCACGCCCGAGCCCGCGCGGAGCCTCCTACCTGCTCTGTTCATCTTCCAGAGCGCGGAGCACGGGGCCGCCCGTCGGTGCGTCCACGGCTCTGTCCGGTCGAGCGCCAGTCCGCACGCCGCTTCACTCCATGGCCGCCCCGCGGGGCCCGCACCCCTTCGCGCCCGCCCCGCCCCCGGCGCGCGCTGGACTCCGCGCGGCGCGCAGGGCAAGTGGGGGCGCGGGGCGCGAGCCTCGGGGCTGGGCGGGGCCGTGGAGCGCAGGGGAGGGGGCGCGAGCGGGGGGCGTGCGAGGGCGGCGGCTGGGGCAGCGCGCGGCGCCGCGTCCACTCAGGACTCCGAGCGGCGCACAGGGCACGGGGGGCGCGAGTCGCGAGCCTCCGGGGGCGGGGCGGCGCCGGTGGAGGCGGAGGGCGGGCTGCGCCCGAGGGGAGGGGGCGCGAGGGCGCCGCGCGGGGGCGGCCGGGGCAGGCCGAGCGTCGGGTCCGCTGCAGGCTCCCTGCTCCGAGGGGCCGCGCTGCGCTCAGGCCGCCGCGCCTCCGCTGTGCCGCCGCCGCGCCGCCGCCCCCTCTTAGATGTTTCCTCTCGCGCCCGCAGAGGAAGGATTTTTTTTTTCCCTTTTTTTCTGCTCAGTCAGGGATCGAGGGAGCCCAGGGTCGAGGTGTCCCCGCGCGTGTTTAAAGGGGCCATGGTGACTGCGGGAGCCGCGCGAGGTTAAAGGGACGAGAACCCTCGTCCGGGGGACCCTCTGCCTGTTGTCAGCCCTGGACGTTCCTTCAGTCCTGCACCGGGAGCCTCGCTGAGGACCTCGCTAGAGCGCCCCAGGCCCTTGCCCTGTTGCAGCCTAGCTAGAGGAAGAGTCACGCGCAACAAGTACCGCTTCAGGCGCCTGAAGTGCCTTGAGCGAGCAGGGCAGTGCAGAAACAACTGGAAATTGTAGGAAGTGCTCGCCTGGGGACCCTTTGCAGGCTGACTGGCCATGACCCCACCCCCACCCCGTGCTTCTGGGGCAAGCTGAGGTCTGAGAACCACTAGGAAGGCCTCCCTGAGGAGGTGGCATTGAAAAGGCGACCTGGTGGGTGAGAAGCCTTTCTTTGTTCGTCACTCAGTACCCCCTCAGTGCCTGCCACGCCTTGGACAACAAGCCTGTGCCCTCAAGGTGCTGCTGGCTTGATGGTCTGATGGTTGTGCTGGTCTGGGATGGGTGCTGGGGACTCAAGGCAGCCTGCTGGAGCTCAGAGGAGGCCGCGGTGGACAGGGTTCAAGTCCTTCCAGGTAGTAGGAACAGCGTAGGCAGGCTTTCCCAGGGAAGGACTGGCAGGTGGGGGCCCTGGCTTGGCCTAGGGCAGACCTCAGTTTGCCCAGCTGGAAGTGGAATGAGACCCTGTGCAGTGACCGTTCCACCTCTGAGCTGCCAGAGGCCTTGTGTCCCCAGGCTGTCGTGGAGAGTTGATGGGGACGGACAGGAAGTCTGTGGCTGAGCTGTGTGCTACTCAGGCAGGTTCTTAGTAAACTTTATGGGTCTGTGCCTGCTGGTTTGAAAGAGGTGGCAATGGGGTGACGATGGTAGGCGAAGGAGGAAGAGGAGTGGGGTGGGGAAGTAGAAGTGGTGGAAGTGGAAGAGGCAGTAGAGGTAGGAGGGAGATGGAGAAGGGGGAGGAGGTGAGGTGGGAGGGAGGTGGAGGGCGTGGTGGGGGAGATATATCTGTGTGTGAATGTGGGTACAAATGAACAGATAAGCCATTTTACTATTTACTGTAGAAAGAAAGTATGCATTTAAAAATTGAGCTTGTTTCTGGGAATTAGCAATAAAAATCAAATAATGGAAGACACCGCCGCCCCCCCCCCCCCGGCCCCAGGGCAGAGCAGGCAGGGAGGTGGCAGGGCAGGTGGAGGCCTTGGAGCCTCACTCAGCCCTCTCTGCTTCTGTTGATTTGGGATTCGAGGCTGAGCAAAGTGTACTCACAAAGATCTCAGCTCCAAGGCCTTTGGGGAAACAACACAGGTCTGCACTTGTGTGGCTGCAGCCACGTGCCAGTGTGGAGTGAAGCCGAAACGCTTGTTCCTTTGTTGGCTTTGCCCAGGTGGAGAACGTGGATGTGCAAGCCTGCGAAGCTTTGCAAACATCTGGGGATGATATTGCTGTTGGGACTCACGGAGCTGGGCCCCAGCCACACGCTGCAAGCAGGGTGACTGTCGAATGACCATCAGTGCTACTGTGTTGAGCCTTTAACATGCGTTCTTGCCAGGAACTGTATCCCATGTCACAGATGGGAAAACAGGCTGAGAGAGGGAAAGTAATGTGCCTGATAGCTGGGCAGTCACCCATCCACTGCTTCTCGAATGGCTGCAGTCTCTGCTTTGCATTTTGAAGGCAAGAGCTGCTGCCGACTTTCCTGAAGGCACCTGGCAGAGGACAGCACAGCTCCAAGGGAGACAACCAGCAGGAGCCAGGCCTCCCTGGGCAAGGGAGACACCCGGCAGGAGCCAGGCCTCCCTGGACAAGCCTTGCCTCTCTCCCCCTCTTTCTCCCTTCTCATTCCTTTCCTCCCTCTCATTCTTTCCATCTGTCTTGGGTGGGCAGAATGGGAGCAGCTACCAGCAACCTTACTGTGATAAATCAGCGCGTGTCTGCAGAAGCATCAGAAGGGGTGGCCAGAGCACCGCTGTGAGCTGATCCACCCAACAGCCCAGTGTGGAATCCAGAGCCGGGGGCAATGGGATAAACGGCACTCAGACAAGTGATGCATTAGCCCCAGGCTGGAGCAGTAACAGCAGCAATAGCGACAATGACAGTAACAGAGGCTGAGGACCGGTTCCCTGTGACCAAGCCTTTGCAGACTTCTCGTGACAACAAAAAGGGGTTGTATGTGTGTGTGTGTGTGTGTTTATCATGATCCTGGTTTTGGAGATGTAAAAACCAGGGTCAGGGAGGCAGGGTATTTGCCCAGAGCTAGCCCTAGTATGTGTCACTGAGACTGTGCTGTGTGCATGACACAGTATTTGCCCAGGTCACCAAGGCAGATTCTGGACCTGAATCCATTGTACTTCTTCCTTCCTTCATCAGTTCTACAAAAGGGGCCAGCCTTGTGGTGTAGCTGGTTAAGCTGCCACCTGCAGCACCTGCATCCCATCTGGGTACCAATTTGAGTCCCAGTTGCTCCACTCCTGATTTAGCTCCCTGCTAATGTGTCTGGGAAAGCAGTGGAGAATGGTCCCCACTTGGGCCCCCGCTACCCACGTGGGAGACCCGGAAGAAGCTCCTAGCTCCTGGCTCCTAGCCTTATCTTGGCACAGCCCTAGCCATTGCAGCCATCTGGGGAGTGAACCAATGGATGGAAGACCTCTTTCTCTCTCCCTCACTCTCTAACTCTGCCTTTCAAATACATACATCTTTAAAAATAAAAATCTCCAACAATGCACTGAGTGTCTTCTCTGCCAGCACCAGGCCAGGTACTGGGTGAACAGGCCAGGCTCACTCCCTGCCTCCCTGCGCCCAAGGCGGGCTGAGGACGCAGGCCCCTCAGGGGTCACTTGCCCTCTTGCTGAGCACACTAAGGGGGCAACGCTGGCCTGCTGACTCCTTGGATGCCTTCACATCCCTGCTGTGGCACTGATGGGTTTCCTGGCACTTCTAGAACCCACTAGTCCCCAGGAGCCCTCCTCCTCACCCTTGCTCCAGCTCTCACGCCTCTCACTCATACGCAGGTATTCTGGGCTGGTTCTAGCCCAGCAGGAAGCTCAGGCTGGTGGCAGGCTCAGCTCCAAACCACTGAAATCCAGCTCCCTAGTCACACCTGGCGGATGCTGTCTCCTGTGCTTAACTGCCACCTAAGCTGGCTCTGGGCACACCTGAAGTGCCCACTGCCACACCTCCCACATACGCAACCGAATGTCCCGTTAACCTAAATATGACCTGGACCAGCCACTGAAGCTCAGTGTCCCCATCTGCAAATCATAGTGGCTACCTGTGCTGAAGCCTTATTTCATACACTCAGTAATGTTGTTTATGTACATTAACTCATTTAATCCTCTTCACAAACCCATGAGGCAGGTGGGCATTGGTAACACCCATGTTATCCCTGAGGCTACCACAGCATGGAGGAACTAAGGCACTTTCCCAGGGATACAGAGCTAGGAAGGAGGGGACTGGACCTTGACTCTGGAGCTGGCTCTCTTTGCTCCTTCAGCACGGGGCCCCTATCCCCTCCCCTCTCAAGTAGAAATACAAGTATCTGCCCACTGAGTGAGGGAATCTGAGACAGGAATTCAGCTGGCTCCAGGGAGGACAATTTGAGCGGACACCTGCCGATCTGTGTGGACAGAGTGTCTGCCAGGCGGCCGTTCCCTCCCTGGGCTATAAAAATTGGTAGGGGGACATCGGGTAAGTTCAGCTTAGCCACCCCCCTCCCTCATGACACTCACCTGAGTTGAGAGAGGAGCAGGGCACCTGGAGACCCCCAGCTCCATCTGTCCCTGGCTCTGTGGCCTTGGGCAAGTCATTTCACCTCTCTGCTCCTCAGTTTTCACCCCTGTGAAATGAGAATAAGATGGCTCGGGTCATCATGAGGACGTCATGAACATTAGCTCCCTTCTCTCTTCCCCTTCCTGTCCTTGAATTCTGGTGCAGTCAGAGGGGGGGCTGGAGGTCAGCTAGCTGTGGCACCGTGGGGCTGGGCTGACCGTGGGGGACTGAATGGAGTTTAAAGCACGGGGCGGGGTTTCAGAGGCTAGGGTCTCAGGTAGAAGAGCAGGAGTGCCATTCCAGGTTGGGAGAAGAGCCTGAGCAAGTGCCAGGAGGGTAGAGGGGGAGAGTGGCATGGGCGTGGTGGGAAGCATGTTGTAGTCAAGGTGTTCATGGAGAAAACCTCTCCAAAGGTGGGTGGGCCCAACAGTCTGGCCTTGACCCTGCAGGTGATAGGAGCTGCATGTGTGAGCGAGTGACCTGGGGGGTGAAAGCTGCAGGTGGCATGGAGCTGGGGTGCCATGACCCACACCTGCAAGGCCTCAATGCATCCTTGGAAGGCTTCCAGGGGGAGGTGGGCTTTGCTGTGCTCCCCATTCAGAGGCAGAAGGGCATGCCAGGCAGGGCTGGCAAGGGGAAGTGGAGGCCAAACCCAATTATCCTGAATCCTCCAGTGTGCAGCCTGGGCTGCATTCAGGTGAGGAGGCAAGCAGGGGCCTCCAGGGCCTCTGTCCAGCAGCCTCAGCCCTCCAAGGAGGAGGGGAGCCGGGCTGGGCAGGGCCAGTTTGGGGTGTTATCACTGGGTGGGATTCGAAGTCTGTGGAGGAAGCGGCCACCCTCTTCCGGCCAGGCATTTTTTTTCCCTTACGCTGGCCTGGTTGGCTTTTCCCAAGGCTGCACTTCCACCCAGGCCCCTCCTGGCTGGCTGGGCGTGGGCACGGCTCTGCCACACACCCCGCTGCAGGGGCGGCCGGCCCTAGGCTTCCTGCCTAGGCGGATTGGAGGAAAACAGCCCTCAAGCCTTCTTCAAAACAGGAAACTGCTCTCCCTGCTTCCTGAAGGGCAGGAACTGTCCCCATGGCAACCATGGGACAAAGAGGCCACATTAACCCTTCTGACGGCAGGCCTGGCCAAGTGCCATGTCTTAGCAAGCTCTTGTGGGTGTGACACCAGGCAGGTGACAGGGGTCCACCTCAGCGATGTCCCCCAAATCTCTCCGCCAAGGCAAGGGAAAGGCAGGGCTGGATTTTATACCCATTGGATGGATGAGAACACTGAGGTGAACTCAGAGAGGCAAATGCCTGTCCACACAGTGAATCAGGTGCAGGGGGCACCAGTGTGGGGCCTGAAGTCTCCATGGAAATCTCGGCTCCTTGCTAACTGTGTACCTCAGGCAAGTGGCTTACTCTTCCCCAAGCCTCAGTTTCTCTGCCTGTGAAATGGGTTAATTGGAGTGCTTTTCTCACAGAGCTGTTGTGGCATTGACTGCCACAGCATATATCACGGAGCCAACATATATCTACATGTGTTGTGCTGAGCACTGCAGGCCCAAGGGTGCAGCAGAGAAACTGACTCTGACCTGTGCTGCAGTTGAGGGAGGGAGGCAAGAAACCAGTGCCCAGATCAGTCCAATCGGGGGACCTTCTGAGCTTGAGCCAGGCTCTGAGGGTGGGCAGGTAATGCACAGGCAGAGGGCTCTCTCCAGCTTGGGGGCTGAGGAAAGCCTGGGGAGTGAGTAGGAGCCTGTCCCTGCAGAGACATGGGAGGAGGTGACAGACCCAGAGGTGGAGGCAGAGGTCCCCCCATGCAGGTGCAGGGACTGTGTTCTCAGAACAACACAGCACTGGAGAGGGGGCACGGCAGGCAGACATAGATTCCATGGCGCATTTTCAATGATTTCCCTCTGCTGTGGCTGAGGTGGGATCCGGCTCGAAATGACAGGGAATGGTGACTCTGAAAGTGACTTTTCTGGGGGACCTTGCCCTGTGACCCTTGGAGAGACCTGAGCCTTGGGACAGAGGCCGTCATTTGTTGTTGTGATGGGGGCGGGGTATGGGGAGGGTTGAGACCCTGTGGCCTGAGCCCAAATACTGCACCACCGGAGCCCTGCCTTTTCCCTCAGCCCCTGTGGCCGCTGTACGGGTGTCATGGACACAGCTCCCACACCACAGCTTCCACAGGGCAGCAGCTCACTGGAGCTCTCCTCACCACCACCCCTAAGATCCAGCCTGGCCCCAGCTCCCCGTGCCCAATTCCTTACCCCATCTCTCACACTCTTTCTACCTGGCTTTTGGCCTTGCTTTTCTAGCTCGCTCTGTCTCGAATAAATTTCGAGAAGAGTTTGATTTTGGTGGAAAATAGTTTTGGAGTCTATGCACAGGAATTTCCCATGTATTTCTCAAAGACCTCTCATGTACTATGTTTTCCTCTACACATGTCTATGACCAAGTCTGATAAGCAAGGCACAGTAAGAGCTGAACAATCACAACAAGTAACCAACTAGAGCAATTCAAACGCTAAGTTGTAATAAACATTGCTTAAAACATACAGATTGCTTATTTCTAGAATTTTTCATGTCCAATTTTCAGGCCACAGTTGAAACCACAAAGAAGCTACCACCTCCTTGCCGGGAGAAGGGGCTACAGTACCTGCATGCTGCCAGTCTCCCCAGCTCCTGCGCCAGCCCTGGAGGGGGTGCAGCACTGCCTCCTGCCTGCCAGCCACTCTCTCCCCAGCAACTACCAGAGCCTGGCACACAGTAGGTGCTCAGTGCAACATGTGTTAAAGGCAGGAAGCCAGCAGCTTAGGTAAGGGTAAGGGGAGCACAAAGGACACCTTTGCCCTAGAAGAGAGCTGATGTCAGGAGCACCAGGAACTGCATCGGGGCCTAGTACACTGGGAGGCATGTATCATTGCCCCCCTTGCTCAGGTGAGAAAATGGAGGCTCAGAGACTTCAGGTCTGGTGCCTGAGGTGTTGACAGGAAGCCCAGGACTGTGCCTCCTCCTTACTCTCCTACAAGGCCAGCATAGACACAGATGGAGAATGACAAAGGGTGACTTGACTTCCCCTTAAACCTATTTTAACATTTTTGTATTTATTTTCCTTTTGTTTGAAAGGCAGAGAGACCAAGCGAGGGAGACAGAGACAGAGACAGAGATCTTCCATCTGCTGCTTCACCACCCAAATACCTGCAACATCTTGGCCTGGGTCAGACTGGAGCCAGGGGCCAGGGAATCCATCTGGTCTCCTGCCGAGTGTCGGGGACCTAGGCATTTGGGTGCACATCAGCAGAAAGCCAAATGGCAAGCAGAGCTGGGACTTGAACCTAGACACTGTAATGAGGGATGTGGGTGTTCCAGGCAGTGTCTTAACCGCTATGCCAAATGCCCACTCTGATTTGACATTTTGAGGGCTTGACAAGGCCACAGTTAAAGCGAGGGAACCAACCTTCCAGATCTGAAGTTTCTCCAAAGCTGACTCAAATACAAGTTCCAGTGCCTCTCCTCAGGCACAGTGAGGTGAGATTCCTGGAGGCTGGGACCCAGCTTCTGCATTTTAGAAAATGTGGAGCTTTGCAGGCCCCATGAAAAGCCGATGGAGGCTTGTGGGGGCGGGGGAGGAGCCCAGGGACAGCTTTCTGGCGAAAGGCCGGAATGGCAGTCAGCCCATCTGCACAGAACCCGGCTATGAGCACTTCAGCACCTGTGTGCTGGTGTCCAGGGCTGTGCTAGGAGGCCAAGGGGGCCGGGAAGCCTGACAAGCCATCCTGCTGCCCAGCTCTGACAGCCACTCGTACCTGAATTCTCCCAAGGACAGTGGGCTCAGGCCCTCAGAGGGCTGACCCTCCCCGCGGCTGGCTTTGCAGAACAGAGGTGGTGACGTCGCCTTCCCCGAAATGCCAGGAAGGGCGGTGGTTTATGAAGAAGCATTTGCTGAGCCGCCAGGGCCGTCTCCTAATTTGTTTCCCTGATCCAGCCCCACAGGCCCGGGACAGAGGGTGAGGGAGGTGGTAGCTCTGGAGAGGACATACTAATTAGCTTAATAAGCATGCGCACACGTGCACTGGTGCACAGAGAGGCGCACTGCAGGCAAGTGTGACCCCTGTCACAGACACCATCAATTGCAGGGGGCAGCCTTCCCCCAGCAGACACTCAGGGAAATGAATCAGGGCGCGGTACGGGAACACCATTAAAACGCTCAGCTGCTCTGGGCACCCATCCATTGCTTGCCCTGTTGGCCACCAAGGATCTGTCCTTCCAGAAGAGGTAGCAGTCAACACACTGTTCCCTGCAGCTGCAGCCCCCAAGCTGCCTTGGGGCACTGGGGCCATGGGCTGGAGCCTGCTCATCTGCAGCCCAGGGGCTCCCTGATGAAAGCGGGGCATGTGGGAGGAGCACCTTCCACTGGCAGGAGCTGGGTGCTGACCACAATGGTCATCCCTACGTGTGAGCACAGGACTGAGCTTTGTTGGCGCAGGTGCTGGGGTTTGAGCTCCAGCTCTGCCACTTACCAGCTCTGAGCCCCAGATCAGTCCCTTTCCTCTTTTAACCTGTAAATTGGGGGCATTTCTGGCACCTACTGTGCATGGTTCTTATTACAAAGGGGAAATAAGACCATGCCCCGGAAGCCCAGGTACCTGGCACATTGTCGTTTCTCTGTCAGCATCCGAGAGCACCACTAAGCACCATTCACGAGGCACCTGCACACAGCAGGTGGTCACTTAGGTCTCCCTGTCTTTGGGCAGCTGGACACTGTGTTGCATTTTGTGGAAGCCTGATCCGCCTGCCCTTTCTCCCTGACTTGATGGTTAGCCTAACCCGTTTTTAACTTTATATTACCATTTGCCCACATTTCTGAGTAGGGAGCAGCTTCTGGCCCCCACAGTCCAGGGACAGTGTCCCCAGGTCTCAATTTTGAGACTTGCAGCAAGTTTGCCTTTGGCTATAGTCATCTCCTTTGGATCCAGACCCCCCCACCCACTCCCATCTGTACAGACCTGGGTGTGGTGCCTCCTCAAACTGGTAGGGCTACAGTGCTTTAAACATCTTTTTTCAAAAAAATTTTTAAAGATTTATTTATTTGCTTGAAAGGCAGAGTTAGAGAAAGAGAGAGGGGAGAGAGAGAAACGGAGAGACAGACGACATTTTCCATCCGTTCGTTCACTCACCAAATAACCGCAACTGTTGGGACTGGATCCAGCTGAAGCTGAAAGCCAGCAGCTTCCTCTGAGTCTCCCATGTAGGTGCAGCGGTCCAAGCACTGGGGTCATCCTCTGCTGCTTTCCTAGCTCATTTGCAGAGAGCTGGATCAGAAGTGGAGCAACCAGGACTCAAACCTATGCCCATATGGGATGGCAGTGTTGTAGGCAGCAGCTTTACCCACTATGCCACAATGCCAGCCCCTCAAAAAAGTTTGTAACAACTGTGCGTATTTATGGGCTACAGTGTGATATTTTAGTACATGCACACACTGTGCACAGGTTAAACAGGGCAATCGGCATTTCCTCTCCTTTGACATTACTCCATGAGTGGAGGCTGGAGCTTCTCTCTTCTGTTTGTTCCTACAGTTTACACTAGTATCTTGTGAACAGTGTTACCTCACAAGGACTGGCTCCTTCTACCTCACTGATTTGCTGCCTGTTGTCCAACTGCCTGTGTCTCCTCACATGAGCTAGAACATGTGGTATTTGCCTTTCTGTGTCTGGCTCATTTCACTTAACATGATATCCTTCATTCAGTTCCACCCATTTTGCTGCAAATGATGGAATTTTATTCTTTCTGATGGCTGAATAGTATTTCACTGTGTCTATATTCTACATATAGGGAGCCCAGAAATTATCTTACACACATACAGCCAACTAACTTTTGACAATGGAACACACACTGGAGAAAGCAGAGTCTTCCCAATAAATGGTGCAGGCAAAATTGGACCCCTGTGTGGAGAAGAATGAAATTAGATCCCTATCTCTTGCCATATACAAAAAGCAACTTAAGATGGATCAAAGACCTAAATGTAAGACCTAAAATCATGAAATTGCTAGAAAAAGAACATAAGGGAAATATTTTAAGACAGGCAATGAATTTTTTGGACAAGAACTCTGAAGTGCAGGCAACAAAAGTTCAACCAGACAAATGGGATTCCTTCAAACTCAGAAGCTCCTGCACAGCAAAGGAAAACATTCACTAGAATAAATAGTGTCTCTTTAATCTACACAAGCACTCTGTATGTTGTGTGTAATTATCTCTGGTTTACAGATGAGGAAGATGCGGGCTGGACACTTGTCTAGAGACACACACAGCTGGCGAGCGGTGGTCTGTGGTAACTGCACATCTGGTCTGCACACAGGACCTTCCCAACCAAAGTGGGGATCGTTTGCCCTGAAACAGGTACAGCTGCAGACTGCCAGGGTGTGCAGGGGTCCTTGTGGCCAGGGCAGGTGTGGGACAGGGCAGGATGGTAGAGAGCTGTCGAGAGCTACCCATAACCCCTGGCTTCCCCTTTCATGTTCATTTCAGTCCTCATTTGTCAGCACCCTCTTTGTGCCAGGACTTCAGGGGGACCCTGCCAGCGTCAGACACACTCAGCAGCCACCACAAAGCATTGCTGCCTCTTGCCTAAATTTGTGGGGTCCAGTACAAAATGAAGATGCAGTACCTCTTTTTCACAAGTTGAGACTTGCTGTGCAGTGACAGCAGAGTGCGGAATGCTCCTAAGCATGGGTCCCAGTGTGACAACACTGGTCAGAAAGCACCCAGCCTCCTTTTCACAGCCCAGCACAGCACTAGAGCTAAACACACAGTTACACCAAGGGCCGTGACATCTAACCCCAACTCCGTGAGCTGACACAGGATCATGGGTAAGCTGAGGCTTAGGGACAGTCCTGTCTCACCCAGCACTACCGAAAGCCCAGGTCCCTTCCTTCAGCGTCGCACACTAGCCCACTGTCCTATGCTGACCCCAATCCTGGCCTTTGTTTTCCAGAAAGAAGCGGAGTATTTACCATAGGCCAAAGTTTATTTTATTTTTGTGTTTTCCAATAATTGATTCCAACAGTTCTACAGACGTCCTGCTGAAGGAAAACATGTTTTGCTTCTTCCACCTTTGGCTTCCTCTCGGCGCCACAGTGGTGGGGGCCCATGACTGCAAGGAAAGCGTGGGGTGACTTTTCCCTTGGTTATTTTATTTTTTTCCATCTCACTGTCGGGAGACAACAAAACATGTTTTCCTTTTGCTCTAAAGGAAATTGGAACTTTCTTATTGACTACTTGTAGCCTAAAATTCATCTTCCTTCTCCTGTGATTATCTTGGATTGGGTGAGATGTGCTGAGCAAATTTCAAAATAAAGGAATGACCTTCACTTTACCAGAAGGACAACTCTACCAACCAAAGTTTTCATTCACATGGAACCAATGAAATTCTCCTTGGCTTCCTCAGGCTGTGTGCATATGTAAAGAGGCCTTACCATCTTGAGATCCCACATTTCCCCATAACCTCACCTTCTTCAAATGCACAGGACTGGCTGAATGTACCCGCAGACAATATTCTGGTTAAGGTGAGTGGTGGCTGAGGGCTTCACCGGAACAGAAATGTTGCATGGTGTGAGGTAGGGATCAGGAATCTTTCTCCCTCATGTGAATAGCCAGTTGATCCCACGCCACTGTTCTACAGCGCCATCTTTCTCCTACTGTGCTGCAGCACCTCCACTGTCAGGAGACCTGCTCACTCTGCATGTGGCGGTCCAGTTTTAGATGTCTGTTCTGTTCCCTTGGTCTATGCATCTATCTAGCACCAAGGCCACTGTGTCTTCTCTAGTACTGTGTCCACTGAAATATAAATCAGGGCTGGTGCAGTGATGCCCCCACTGACATTTACGTTGTCCCAGTATTTTACTTTCCTGACTTGCATCACACTTGGTCAGGGTAATAGAGAACCCATACTAGCTGATATTTACAGTGTGTCAGGCTCTGAGTGTTTCCATATGCAAACTCATTTAGTCTTCACAAGAGCCCTTTGAGGAAGGTGATTTTATGATCTCTTTCAGAGGAGTTCAAGGCACAGACTTTCCAGATAGTGGAATCAGGATCCAACACAGGCAGGCTGGTCCTAGAAGCAGGTGAATGGACAAAAGCGTAGGCATAAAGGAAGGAATAGAAGGCAAGTAATACTCCCTTCCTTATCCTCTATAATTAGTTAAGTGGCTCAGTGGCTGTGGAGGCTGGGGGCCCTGGGACCCCACTTCTGCTACACCAATCACTGACTGCATAACTTCGGGCAAGTCACCAAGTCTCAGTTTCCTTGTCTGTAAAATGGAAACAATAGGCCAACTTGTCTGAGTGATTGTGAGGGAGGCCTCAGGGACTGACACAGTGCCTGCTGGCTCACAGGAGGTTCCCCAAGGTTTTAAGCATCTTCATGGTTGCCCAGGGACCTCAGTGGCCTCAGAAGTTTCCTCCAGAGAGCTCTTTGCCTTGGCAGACATTCTGGGTTTCCTGATGGAGCTGCAGAGACCTTCCCCAGGGAGGACTTGAGGGCTGGAGAAGCTCAGGGCATGGCTGGTAGGATGACCCAGAACCACTTCTCACCACTTCTCTCTGCATTTACACATCCAACACTCAGGGCCATCATGATCCTCAGCTCCCCAGGGTTGGGGCTCAGCCTAGAGCAGCCCCTCGCCATTCACAGGGAGGCCCCAGTACATCACCCCAGGCTGGGTGTGCTGACCCGGGCCAGGTCCCTGACCCTCACAGGCCAGGGCAAACACCTTACAACAGCACCGGACACTGCAATGGGACTGCGGCTGCTGTAGAACAGGTCCTGCTGCAGCTCGGCTGACAGAGCCTGCTACAAGGAGACAGGCGATATCTGTGAGTGAATCTTACCAGGCAGCACCTTAGGGTGCCCCATCATCCCAGCTTGCCCAGGACTCTCAGTAGTAAAATCAGGGATGTGCTGGACAAACTGTGTAGTTGGTGTGGGTTCAGCCTGTGGAGTTACCGTTTGATCTAAGTCTCCTGTCTTAAGTCAGGTGCAAAAGCAGAACCCAAGTCAGGGCTAAGGTGTGTGAATCGGCAGGGAGTGCAGGGTGCAGGCGTGCAGGTGGCAAAAGCCTAGCAAGGCTGTGGCCCCAGCCTGAGCCCTGGGGATTGCCATGGAGCGAGTCCACCTGGAGGTGAAGGCCCCACCGTGGAGAAGGGGGTATAGCCCCAGCAGAGCGGTGGCTGTCAGCCATGAGCAGACAATGTCCCTGAAGCTGGGTGACAGGAGTTGTCTCCAGGCAGTGGGGTCGGGGCACACACAGTGTCCGCAGTACTTCACAGCTGCCAGAGGGGGGGATGTTCATGTGAGGATGACCTTAATGACCGTTTTCACTGAAAGCTGCCCAGCAGCTCCCAGAGCTCCGGCCAGGAGGTCCTGTGATCGGGCTCCCCTGTCTTGTTTCCCATTCCATTGGCTCTGCCCTCATGTTCTCCTCCCTCTGGTCTCACCCGTGCCATGCCTGCCTGACGCAATGGCTTTGTCCTGGCCGCCGACTGCCCCTGCCTGGGCCCACACTGTCCCACGGCTGCTCCTTCCCTCAACTTAGGCCTTTGCCCCATGCTCCTCCTTGGAGAGGCCAGCCCAGGGCTCTCTGCTGATGTCCTCCCAGTGGCCCTAGTCACTTTGGAGAATAGGATGTGGGCTTGTTCCCTCTTAGCTCTCACCACTATCTGGAACTACTCTGCTTGTGAATTTTCCTCCATTGCTTTTTGTCTGCTTCTGTCTCCAGAATATCAATTCCATAAGGACCACCGGCTTCCCTGGTCATTCCAGTATCACAGGGCCTAGAAAGTACTCAGCTCATGGTAGGTGCTCAAATTACTTGTTGAATGAAGAAATGTATCCCTATTTTATAGATGACAAAACTGAGCCTCTGAAAAGCCATTTGTCTTCCATACAAGGTCCCCGGTTGCTGAGTGGCAGAGCCAGATGTGAAACCAGGCAGACCTGGCGCTCGGGCTTCCGACCAGTAGGCCCCCCCACCGCTCCTTTGCCTCACACTTGGCCTGTGATGGTGGACACAGCATCTCATTTTTCTATCAGTGGTTCCCTGGCTCCTGGCTCAGGGTCTGGCTTAGGGCCTGGCCCAGAACAGCCAGCAGACCTGTGGGGAGTGGTGTCACAGCCACAGACCTCAAACCCTTTTTGGGTCCCTGGAGCCTGTCTGTGCCCTGCCTGCATTTGCCGGGTACTGGGGGCTCAGCGAGCCCCTGCAGCCTGTGCAGCCCTCCCCATCAGAACGTGCTGGCTGGCTCTGGGGGGTGGGCTGGCGGTGTTGTCTGCTGCGTGATCAATGTGAATAATAAACGTTTAGAGTTAATAAGCTCGAGTTCGCTTCTCTCGCTTCATGACTAATGGGCTTCCCCGAGCCCATAACTCACCTTGTCGGCACAGCTCTCCTTCCCTCCGAGGTTTGAGGCCCCAGCCTGCTATGAGCTGTCGCTGAGGGAGCAGGAGGGAGCTGGCGGGGCCAAGGCCTTCTTTATGGCACAAAAACAGTGCTTTAGGGCAGCGGCAGGATCTTCCTGGCTGGTTTCTGGGCCCAGGAGAGGAGATGGCGGGTGTGAGAGAGGCTGGTCTGTCAGCCACAGCTGGGGGAGCCTGGGCGAGTTCCTTCCCCTCCAGTTCCTCATCTGTCAAAGAAGATACGAATCTGGGCTGTTCGAAGAATCAGGAGACACATTTATGAAGTGCTGGACTGTTGGGGAGGGTCGGTCACTTCTATTTGCAAATGTGTGAGAAGCTGAGGAAGAGGAAGGTAGCTGTGAATGGAGGGCTCTGAGGTGAGATCCTTGCCCTGGCCAGGGGTGGTTCTCTGGCCAGCTGCACTGGTCTCCCTGGGGCCCGCAGAAGTGCAGACTCTCAGGCCCCGCCCTGACCTGTCAGGTTCCAATCTGCTTGCCAATGAGACACCCAGGAATTCCTGTGCATGGATCAGTCTGGGACTCACTAGCCCAGACAGAGCGTGGCAAATCAGTAACTGGGATGCTTCTGCCAGCAAGCCCTTGCCCAGAGCAGACACTGCAATTGACCACAGCACTCTTGCCAGGGAACCTGGGAGTGGGCTCAGAATCCCTTTCTGCACAGCACTCCTGGTTGCCCTGCTACCATGCAGAGTTGGCCTGCAAGACACAAAACTAATTGTTGTCCTGGGCCTAGAGCCTGCACCACCAAATCTTGGACCGGAATTAGGATACCAAGCCCAGTCCCTTCTGCACAGTTTCTAGAACCAGGATGGTTCACAGAATAGGAAAGGTGGATCAAGATGTGGGAGAGAGGCACAGCAAGTTAGGCTGCCACTTGGGACACCTGCACCCTGTATGGAATGCCGCTTCGAGCCATTTCCCTGCTAATGTTTGGAAAACAGCAGATGATGGCTCGAGTAGCTGAGTCCCTGCCATCCACATGGGCAACCCAGATGGAGCTCCTCTCTCTCTCCTGGCCCAGACCTGGCTACTGCAGCCATTTGGGAAGTGAACCAGCAGCGGGACGATGTCTCTCTCTCTCTCTCTCTCTCTCCCTTCCCGCATTCCTCTGTTGTTCTGCCTTTCAAATAAATAAACACATACATACACACATCTTAAAAAAAAAAGACATGGGAGGAAGAGATATGGGAAACTGAGGGAGAGAGAAACCATGATACTCAGTGAGCAGTGGGATTCCTGCTGATGTGACAGTGTGAAGGCCTGGTGGGTCTAAGGTAAGGTGGACCCCCCAGCCTGGCAGGGAGAAGACAAACTTCCATCCCAGTCCTTGATTGCTATGAAGGCACACTAAGCAAATCTCCCTAAGAATTGCTTAAAAATTACTTTTAAGAAAGAGTATTTGCCACTGAAATTGCCACGTTCTTTTTAAAATTAAATATTCATTTATTTATTTGAAAGTCAGAGTTATGGAGAGAGAAGGAGAGAGAGAGAAAGAGGTCTTCCATCTGCTGATTCACTCCCCATATGGCTGCAATGTCAGAGCTGGGCAAGGCTAAAGCCAGGAGCCAGGAGTCTCATCCAGGTATCGGGGCCCAAGCACTTGGGTCATCTTCTGTTGCTTTCCCAGTCATATCAGCAAGGAGCTGGATAGGAAGTGGAGCAGATGAGACCTGAACTGGTGTACATTTGGGTTTCTGGCTGTGCAGACATTGGCCCAACCCCTGAGCCACAGTTGTCAGGATTTTACAAACTTATTGTGAAAGATAAACACAGGGGCCATCTGCAGAGCTGGCATCCTCTATGGATACCAGTTCTAGTCCTGGCTGCTCCATTTCCCATCCAGCTCCCTGCTGATGCACCTGGGAAAGCAGTGGAAAATGGCCCAAGTGTTTGGACCCCTGCACCCACATGGGAGACCCAGAAGAATCTCTTGGCTCCTGGTTTCTACTTGGTTCAGCCCTAGCCCCAGCTGTCGTGGCCATCTGGGGAGTGGACCAGTGGATGGAAGACTTTTCTATGTCTCTGTTTCTTCCTCTCTCTATATATAACTCTTGCTTTCAAAAGAAATAAAATAAATCTTTAAAAAAGAAATGTAAGCATCTTCCTCCTAGTGAGCCTCTTCTCCTGGGGTAACTGATGTGAGCAGTTTCTTTGCTCTTTCAAACATGTTTACAAAGACAGGATCACACCATCTACCTGACTTTGCAGCTTTTTTTTTTTTGTCTAATAAAACATAATTAAATGCCGTTCCAGTCCCACACACATGTGTGTAAATACAAGAGTGCTTCCAAGAGTTCATGGAGGGGCAGGCTGGTAAAGCTACCTTTATTCTGCATAGGAGCACCTGCACCAAGTCCTGGCTCCAGCTCCTGACTCCAGCTCACTGCTGATGCATACCCTGGGAGGCAGCATGTGATGATTCCCACCCACAGAGGGACCTGCATTGGGGTCCAAGTTCCCAGCTTTGGCCTGGCCCAGCTCCAGCCATTGCAGGCACTTGGGAAGTGAACCAGCAGGAGGGAGCTCTGTCTCTCTGCCTCACAAATAACTTTCAAAATTTACTGAGGGGGTCCGGTGCTGTGGTGCAGCGGGTTAAGCCACTGTATGCAATGCCGGTGTCCCAAATGGGCATCGGTTCGAGTCCCGGCTGTTCCACTTCCGATCTAGCTCTCTGCTAATGTACCTGGAAAAGCAGTAGAAGATGGCCCAAGTGCTTAGGCCCCTGCACCCACGTGGGAGACCCAGATGAAGCTCCTGGCTCCTGGCTTTGGCCTGGCCCATCCCTGGCCATTTGGAGAGTGAACCACTGGATGGAAGAACTCTCTCTCTGTCTCTCTCTCTAACTCTGTCTTTCAAATAAATAAAACAAATATTCTAAAAAACAAATAAAATTAT